ATATGATACACGAAGGAAGAAAACTCTTGAACGAACCACCATAAGAATTGAAAAGAACGATTAAAACATGAAGACACACCGGGAAGAATTAGCAATTAAACAAAGATGCTTGAGAGAATTTAGACCCATGAGAACGAAAAGATTACGAGCTGATTAGAGAATCCTTGATTTAGACACTGGTATGATTTAGAGTATGAGAGCTGAAAGATGGAATGAATAAATCTTAGATGATGGGCTCCGGATGATCAAACTGAACAGAATCTTGAATTGCTCCGGATGGGTGAAAAAAATCTCACAACCAAAAACAATTATGAGAGGATGGCAGAGAATGGGGCAATATTTAAAAGAAACTCTTCTTCGGTCTTCAAAATCTGAGAATGACGATGAGAAACACCACCAAATTGTTGAGATACTCCGGGATGAACATTAGCAAGGTTGAACCAATGATGAAAGGAATTTGAAAGATCTTGGAGGAAGACATATGACTAATGACAATTCATTCTTACATCAAACTTGGAAAAGAAATTTGAGAATAGCTCCGGGCAAATTAGAAGAGTCAAGTAAGATCCTGGAAAAAGACATGTGGGTTAGGGCCCACTCAAAGGAAAACACCGTTGAACAATTTAAAAGAAAGATTGCACCAGTTGAATTAAATGGCTTGAGTGAGATAACAGACTCGAGATATCTTGAACACTCCGAAACAAATGAATAGCGAAGAGTGGATGATTATGAGGTGCACCAGCATGAGAAGGTATTTGAAACGAGGAAAAAGGATATGATCAACACCAAAGCTTGATTTGAATCCACCGGAGAAGAAAACGAGTGATGAGAGACGAACTTGAAGCTTCATTAGCATCTTCTGAGAATCAACGGATAAGAACATTGACGGAAAAGAATGGAGAGACTTCCCATCAATAAGATGGATACTCGATTAAGAAATCTGAGTCCTAGAAGAAAACAAGGGAGGGAGGGCGGGAAAACAAAGGCAACTTGGAGACGGATGAAACAAACACCGTTGAGAAGAACTGATACTTGATCTTGCAGTTGTTGAAATGATCGGATCCACTTGAAGAGAAGCACACCGGTTGAGAAGAGGATTGACATGACAATCTTGATGATCAAGAAGGATTAGTGTTCACATCGGAGTATGAGAACACCGTTTAGGAAAGGTATGGAATCAACACTTGACATTGAAGCAACTCGAATACCACAAGTGAAAACAAAAACAAAGGATTGGCTTGCAAAATAAGCCAGAACAAACATATGATAGAGATTTCGTCCGAAGTTTTCGTGGTGGGGCCTACATGGGCTCGATCGTATAGCACCATCATGTACAAGGCAGTGCACATGACATACGAAGCGTCCTCGAGTCGGCATAGCCAAGGACTCTTTTAGACACAACGAGACCACTGTAAAACCAACCGTGGATAGGCGGACCACTAGACATCGAACCCCAATTTCATATCATACACCTGTTGGAAAGGTATCCTAAGAGCTACTTGAATTCCCACTTATCAACTCCTGAAATTTTTCCGGTTATGCAATCAGGTGTTGGGGATACAGGGGAAGCATAATATCTCACCCAAACTAGCAAATCCTACATCCAGCTGTATCCATCCTTCAACACATAACCAAGAAACCTTCGGAAAGCGTCTACCTCAACCTTCGAAAAGCATCCGTTATACGAGTTATGGCAATACTCCCGAACTCCCGCCCCAGTACTGGGTGGCGTCGAGGTTATCTCACCAACAACTGCATAAAAGAGATTTTTGATGTCGGCGAACTAAACTCAGGTATTCTAGAACTGCAACGATAAAATTGTGACGACAACACCTCGGAGCTCAACTCCCCGGGACACTGCCACAACCCCTAAATGTCAGGAGGCACCAAGAACAATGTTCTCGTCACAAAACCATCGGAACGATTCCAAGATACCCGCGTGATCCTAAATTTTTTTTTTGTGAAATTTGAGAAGAGAATAATCAAAACTCTACGTCAGGATGCCTTACCAAAGCGATGAAGGGACTAGGGAGTAAAAAGAATTCCTAAACTCTCTGATATATAATTCCTAAATGACTCAAAACATTTTTTCTAGACTCAACTCGTCCGCTAATTCGATCAAGCAGTGGGGCTCCTAAGGTCGGGGGAGGCTCTGATTACCAACTTGTAACGCCCTCGATGCGGCTATATCTCCCATGTGTCGAAGCACGACTTAGAGGCATAACCGCATTGAAAGCAATGTCGCAAGTGAGGTAATCTTCGCAAACAACCCATGTAATACAATAGGGGGAAAGATACATAGTTGGCTTACAATCGCCACTTCACACAATACATGAATAAAGCAATACATCATCCAGATACAATCAAGGTCCGACTACGAAACCAAAATAAAAGAAGAACCCCAAAAGCGACACGGTCCCCGATCGACCCCAACTGGGCACCACTACTGATCAACTAGAACGAAACAACACAAAGGACAAGATCTTCATCGAGCTCCTCCTTGAGCTTGGTTGCGTCACCTGCTCGGTAACATCGGCACCTGCAAGCTGGTTTTGGAAGTATCTGTGAGTCACGGGGACTCAGCAATCTCACATCCTCGCGATCAAGACTATTTAAGCTTATAGGTAAGGCAAGGTAATATGTGGAGTTGCAGCAAGCAACTAGCATATATGGTGGCTAACCTGTTCGCAAAAGAGAGCGAGAAGAGAAGGAAAAGCACGATCGAGAAACTATGATCAAGAAGTGATCCTAGAACAACCTACGTCAAGCATAACTCCAACACCGTGTTCACTTCCCGGACTCCGCCGGAAAGAGACCATTATGGTAACACACACAGTTGATGCATTTTAATTAAGGTCAACCTCAGGTTTTCTACAACCGGATGTTAACAAATTCCCATCTTCCCATAATCGCAGGCACGACTTTCAAAAGTTCAAATCCCTGCAGGGGTGTCCCAACTTAGCCCATGACAAGCTCTCACGGTCAACGAAGGATATTCCTTCTAGCGGGAAGACCCGATCAGACTCAGAATCCCGGTTACAAGACATTTCGACAATGGTAAAACAAGTCCAGCAACACTGCCCGAATGTGCCGACAAATCCTGATAGGAGCTGCACATATCTCGTTCTCAGGGCACACTCAGATGAGACATCCTACGAGTAAAACCAAACCTCAAGTTGCCCCGAGGTGGCCCCGCAGTCTTCTCGGTCGGACCAACACTCAGAGGAGCACTGGCCCCGGGGGGGGTTAAAATAATGATGACCCTCGAGAGAGCGACTCCCAAGGGAAAAGTAGGTGGTGGTGAGGCAAAAGGTAAAACCAAGGTTGGGCATTGCTGGAGGAGTTATACTCAAGGCGAACTGTCAAGGGGTTCCCATAATAGCCCAACCGCGTAAGGAACGCAAAATCCAGGAACATAACACCGATATGACGGAAACTAGGGCGGCAAGAGTGGAACAAAACACCAGGCATAAGGCCGAGCCTTCCACCCTTTACCAAGTATATAGATGCATTAATTAAATAATAGATATTGTGATATCCCAACAAGTAAACATGTTCGAACAAGGAACAACATCTCCATGTTCCAACAAGGAACAAACTTCAATCTTCACCTGCAACTAACAACGCTATAAGAGGGGCTGAGCAAAGCGGTAACATAGCCAAACAACGGTTTGCTAGGACAAGGTGGGTTAGAGGCTTGGTTCAACAATATGGGAGGCATGATAAGCAAGTGGTAGGTATCGCAGCATAGGCATAGCAAAAGAGCGAGCATCTAGCAAGCAAAGATAGAAGTGATTTCGAGGGTATGGTCATCTTGCCTGAAATCCTGCAAGGAAGAAGAACGAGTCCATGAAGAAGAGAAACGGACGTAGTCGAACGGTTACTCACAAACGCGACGTTAACGGAACCAACCCGAAGAAGCAACACCGGAAAGAAGCACACAACATAGTAAACAACCAACACATCAACATGGCATGATGCACAATCAAGTATGATGCATGTCTGGTTTAAATATGCATGGCATGGCAAAGTGCACAAACAACACTACAAGTTAAGTGGAGCTCAATATGCAACGGGTTGCATATTGACGGAACACCACATCAATTATTTAGTTCTCTCTTGTTTATGTACCCCAACAATATTAAATGTTCTTAACATGGCAAGGGTGAAGCAAAGTAAACTACCTATCTAGTCAAGTTTAAATGAGGCCGGAAGCAATGAACAACAAATTCCGGTAAATCCCCATATGCATATTTTAGATTTGGTGCTGTTCTGCCCTAAATATAATTTTAGAGTTATTAAACATGCAAAGTAAATCCACCATGTTAAACTAGGCAAAATTCTACCCCATTTACATATAAAGATTATTAAATTCCGAGTTACGGTTATTTAGTTATGAATTAAAGCATTTTAGCAAGTTATTTAAGCAAATTTAAACAAACAACATTTTAAACATTTTAAACATGGATGAGAGTGACATATTATGATACTAGATGAATTTCTAAGCATGTTTCATATATGACATATTTTATTTGGATGCACGGTTCAAAAGTTATTAGCAGTTTAAAATAGGGGCAAAATCTGTAAATATGCAATGCTATGAGAAATTAACAAATCGTTGACAAGAGAAAAAACGAACAGGCCGAATGTGGCAGCCCAGCAGCGCACAGGGGTAGGTGGGCGGCTGCTCACCACTGGGCCAAGCCCTAGTGGGTGGAGAGGGAGAGGCCGGCAGGGGCGCGCTGGGTCGGCCCGCTTGGCTCGATCGAAAGAGTCAACGCGGCTTGGCTCGCTCGTGTTCTGACTGAAGAAGCAGAGGAACGCAGCAGTTCGGCGCGGCGGGACATGGCAGCAGGGCGGCGACGGTACTTGGGAGCGACGCGGGGCGAAGCGAGCAAGGAGGCAGGGGCTTGCCGGCGGCGCGAGAAGCGGCTGGTCTCCGACGCGGTGCAGCAGCGGCGGAGCAGATCTTGCCGGAGAAGAGGTCGCGGATGGCGGAGCTACTCCCGGAGGAAAACTGGTGGCGCGGCGGTTTCAGAGAGGAAGATACTTGGGAGAATAAAAGGTAGACGGGGAGACGGAAGGAAGATGAGGCATGGGGGAGCCCGGACCTGCTGCTGGTACGGTAGCTCGCCGACGAGGGCTCGAGGCGCGACGGCGTTGGTCACATGCAGAGGCACCAAATGGAGTTGTGGCTTCATCAGGACTTCGCGGCACCGGCGGCAGGGACTTGAGGCGACGGCGGCGGTGGTGCTACGAGCCACCGGATTCGGCGGGAAGCAAGTCGGCAGAGGAGGCAGCTGCGCTTGACGCTCGAGACGAACAGAAGGGGACTGGGTCGGCCTGGTGATGAGGACTTGGTGCGAATCCATGGCGGCGCTAGACGCGGGTGACGAGGCGCAGGAGGTCCAGGAACAAAGTGAGTAGGCGAGGGCGGCCATGGCGTTCGGCGATTGCGTTCGATTCCTGCGATAAGAAGCAGAGGAGGGGATTTGAGAGCTCCGGGAGAGAGAGAGATGAGCAGAGGAGTGAGATGCAAGAGAGGGGCACGGGACTGGCCTGGTGTTCATCCAGTGTGGAAACGGCCCCGGGCGATGGATCAAGGGAGGGTGCGCAGCGACGATGAGGTACGGGACGGGGATGCCGGTGTAGAGAGGAGCGCTCGGGCACTGCTGCTGATTGGGTGGCGCTGAAAACAAGGGAAGATGGCGGCGGTGGTTTGGGTAGGTGGGATCCCGATGTGGATTCGGTGGAGTGGCGGCGGCGACGAGTGGATGGGACAAGATCCCTAGGTTTTAGGGTTTTGGTCTAAAGATGGACTAGGGTGTACATATATATAGGAAAAAAGAGGAGTTGGATCATCCGATCAAAATCCGATGGTCGAGAATAGATAGGCTAGGAAAATCCAAATAAGAAACGGAGATGTTTCGTAGATGTTTGGGGTTTATCCGGATCCAATGGTGACGACTGGTCGGGTCGGGTCCGGGACAACTTCCGGACGCGTGCGAGGGGTTTGATGCACTGTGCAGAGAGGGTAGGCATGGGCCTAGGTGAACTGTGGCGAGGCTGAGAGGAGAGAAGAGAGAGAGAGGGCCCGGCAGCAGTTTCCGGAGACCGAAAACGTCCGATGATAGACCGGCTATACTGCCGCTATAGTTAACCGTTGGGGCGTCAAACGGACTCCGAATGCGATAAAATTTGGCAGGCGACCTACTGACAACATAAAAACACCGCATGCCAACTTTCAACCCATTCCGAGAACATTTTCCGGCCACTTATAAAATAATATTTCGGACATGCCGCGGGCGCGTGCAAGTGTGGTTGGGCTCGGGACGGACAACGGACGGAACTGGGGAACCCGGACGGATGCAAGTTTTGAAAACATGATGATGCAATGCACATGATGCAATGACAAGATGCAACAACAGCGAATAACTAGAGGGCACCTGGCACATCGGTCACGGGGCGTTACATGGGGTTCGGCAGAAAAGATGTCGAACTGTAGTTTTAGAAAGGAGTTTCACGCCGAACACCTCAACCAAGAGAATGTTCTGCTTCCTGAAAGGAAAACATAAAATAGGTGAAAAGATGTTATAATCTCAAAGGCCAAAAACATGCGTAAAAACTTTACGTCTAGATAGAATCAGGGTGTTTTGGTGCCAATAAGAAATTGGTCTTAAAATTGTACTTTCGTCGTGCTTTGACATGACAAATCCGATCTCTAGACTTCAAGTGGGCGAGCCTTCGGCTTCAACCTCCCTATCCCGAAGGCGGAGTGTTTCTCAGGCCAGTTTAGCGAACTAAACACGAGCAACTTTAGAGAGAAACCAGGCTACCCGACTATTGATCATACACATGTGTCGAGAAAGGGGTGGTAGAAAAATACTGTACAACGATTAGTAAAAACGACTCATACTAATTCAAGAGCCCCCAAGCGACTTGGGTAAAAGAATTTTATCTATAATGAGTGTATGTACCGAAGTACTTATATCATATATGTGTTCACCTGAACTTCAAACGCGTCTTAACCGACCATCAGCTTCTCCCTCTTCGGTCAAGGACCGAAAAGTGTTACGTACTCCACCTGTCGAGAATATTGACGGTGTTTCCGATAACCAGGCAATCAGGGCATAAGGCTGTAACAGACAAAGCGCGCTCAAGGAACTTATGCTATATTACTGACGAAGTGTAAGAAGCATCTTCGAAGAAAATAGTACCTCCACCAATACCTTTCTTCGGTTGCTCATTGTTACTATGAGACTTGTGCAGTAGATTTTTCGTATTCATGAGTTCCGTTGTGTGCCGACCATGATTGAAAATAATAAGAGCGCTAGCTTTCGGCTTCACCCAGTCTGAGGTCCGAGCTCGGATGACCTGACATGACAATCGCAGAGGTGCTCCCTTTACTCCCTAGCTGAACAATCGGAACATAGGGGTAAACACAGGAGCAAGGCAACCCAGCTTGCGGAACACTTAAGTCAACATGGTGCATATTGTGGCGTAATACACGAACAAGGAACGAAGCCATACAAGTATAATCATATGCAAGAGGAAAGGCTTCATAAAGGAAGCCCCCAAGTAAACTGGGTATTTGAATTTGTGTGTCACAAACAAAGTTTTGACAAGGAAGTTTTACACGAAAACTTCTTTCCTAAAAAAGTATAATGCTTGGTCGAACCGAACGAAATTTAAAACCGAAAGTTGTTGAGTATGAAAGAGACTTAGCTGGTTAATGTGCTCGGTGTTGATGACGAGGTCCGGACTTATGGCAGGACGAAGACATAGTCCTTGGCTTGGCCGAGGTCCCAGCCCCCAAGCCGGTTCCAAAGTGTCCGAGAAAAGAGCTCGGCTTGACGAAGTGGCGACATAGCGCGGTCGACGTGTTGAAGAGCAGCCCCTGGTCCAGCCGAGCTAACGAAACTGGTCGGCTGATGCTGCTGGAGTCCCTGGGGTAGGTTTGATGAAGAGATGGAAAAGCCCCCGGTCCAGCCGAGGTGACGCGGTAGGTCGGTAAGGCGACGACGGAAACCCCATGTCAGCACGTCGGTATGCTGGAGTGACAGTGCTGCCCGACCCAAATCATTTACCTGTGCACGGAACATAGTGCAAGCCGGAGATAATAATAAAAAATCGTTGCATGATTAATAATTTATGCAAAGTGAGTAATAAAAGAAATATGGCCCTTGCGCCGAACACTCGATGAGGTAGAGCTCTCTCAGTGATGCCGAAGTTTCAGAGGCAACCAAACATGTCGGTGTGGCAATTCAACCAACAAGGTGATCACGAGAGCCAATTTATGCCGATTGGGATGACGATGACGGCCTGCCGAAGTGATCGCGTGACGCAGTCGAAGTCAATAACCATATGGTTGCGCCGAGCCGAACTATCTTCGGCCTCGATGGGCGTTGACGCGCCAGGTAATGCGCGGTGTAAGTCTACCTGCATAGATAAAATAGTGCAAGGCCAGAGATGATAATACATATGTTTTTTATATATAAAAAATACCCTCTACTTAATTAACTTAAGTAAAGTAGATAATTAAAAGAAAAAAAGGCCTGGATGCCGAGGTTAGCTCGACGAAGTAATAGGATGTAGATGCCAATGCAGGTCCAAATATGCACGGCAATTACACCGCCACAGCGCCGTCCAAACTTGTTCTGAGAACGCGGCAACGCGGCTTGATGGCGACCTAAAAATGTCGGGGTCCCTGGGGCAACGATGTCGGCCTGCACACACAAATAGTGCAAATCCAAAGTAAAGGATTTCTTGATGTATGAAATTGTACAAAATAAATAAATGGAAAAATTGCACCTAAACCCGGATAACCATAGGAGCAAAAAAACTGCGCCAAAGTGCTCTAGGGCATTCACGTGAGAGGTAGCTAGATTAGACTAATTGCTCCATGGTTAGACTTCGATAGAAAATGTGAAGAAACAAGAACTGCTGGACTTTAAAAAGAAGAGGACAAGGAATCTTCCTGGACTCATGCTGCGAAGCTAAATTCATGTCAGCCCCGGTGCACTGCCCGCCGCCTCGACTGGATCACTGTTGTTCGGATGGCAGACTTATTTGTTGTTCGCGTATGCAGCGAGTTCACCTGCTCGACTACTTGTTTGGATCTGTGCGCTTTTTCAGGATTTAATACGGCATGCGGGGTTACTCGTCCTTGGATGCTCTGAGGTCAGTTTATTTGTTGTGGTGACCCCGCGACATAGTCTGGATTCATCTGGCAGGCCGGGCTACGGACTTGGTGTCCGCTGGACTATGGACGAAGCTGGCTGGCCAGATACTGTACGGATCACCATGTCGATGCGCTCTACAGGCCGTTGTAACTAGTAGAGAAATCTACTCAGAGAAATTCATGCAAACTAGCAGAAAAATATCTTGTGCGTATTTAAAATATACAGTACAAGAAATTAGAAAAATAGAACCTGGTGTTCTTTGCTTGGATGACGAGGCGTTAAAATCCGAGGTAAAAAGCCAGAACAAGTGATGCCTTGTACGAAGACCAATCAATCCTCCAAAAGACGTGATAACCAATTAGGGCATGAACAATAGAAGCATCACTAGATGGTGGTCTCATGCCCTCCATGTAGGCTCGTATGCGTGAAGCCATCATTTGGTGCAACTCTCACCCAACAGAAGCATCAGCTACCTGTGGGTCCCATGTTTCTTCCTCTCTCTTACTTTTTCCATCTATTCTACTTTCCCTTCCTCATTCACGTACGCATCTACCAGGAGATAAACAATGTGCTGCTGCTAATCCCCACCTTTTTCCTTTTCCCTAGCTTTTTCCCGCGAAGCACCCGCCTCTTCTGCAGGCTACACTAGTACTCTGCCAGGCAGCCATCCCTGACACCCGAACCTAGCTGGCCTACGGGGCACCTGGTTGGGGCGACGCATTGGCCTTGCCCTTTGTATTTTTGGACGGAGTCTTATACGTGAACTCCCAGTGGATTTGTACTACTAGTAGGAGTCCAAAGCGTTTTGGTTCTACACATGCCCCAGCATCGCTCCGACTCTTGCGAGGCTGATTTGACCTTAATAATAATAAAATAAAAGGAAAGGAAAGGAGAGGATCATCCCTGTGCATGCATTGCCGGTGGAGGCAGCTTTAGGCCCCTCGTGGCCGCTTGGGACCAGGGATCACACCAGGACGACGCTCAGCCGACGAAGACGCTTTTGTCCTTGGTCGTGCCGATCTCTTAACGCTTAGCGGCTGTCCAGCACATAAATTCATTGATCCGATCTAAGATCAGAGTCAATCTTGAACGAGCCTTTGAATTGCGATCCAAAAATAGCTCTCAAAGAAATCAATTCGTGTGGAATAAATCTAACTGAAAAAATAGCACCTGATCATCCCATCGATCTGCGACGATCACCCAACAGGCTCTCAATGAAAGCACCAACGTCGGTTCAATATCCGGCGTATCTCGTAGTA